TACCAGCATGCCCCTTATCACCGCGTATTGTTTGCTGCTCATCTGCGATCACTAGTCTTCCATCACAAGCAGTCGCGCGACCAGTCACTGAGATCCACTGCACAGTGTTTTCCCGCAATCAGTTCTCTCTTCCACTGTATCAATAGAGCAGCAAAACCAGACTTCGCCTGATACTTATTTAACTGATAATTAACTGATAACTGATCCATCCATGGTTGATTAGCTTAGTCCCACCAATGATAGCGCTTCACGAGTGGATGGGACTTCAATAGGCACATGCGATTCCTTCAAATCACCAAAAATTGCGTCGCACTTGAAAATGAGGTAGCAATTTCGAACTGTCGTCGTCGACTGAAGTTCAGCGCATCATTCCAACGCTGAATTCCTCGCCCGAGATCGTCCAACTCCCCTTTTCTTCATAACTTCGGCCGTTCCAGCTTCTTCGCCAAAAAACCGATCCCTTTTTCTTTGGCATCCCAGTCACGCCACCATCCTACGAAGCATTTTCGGGAAAACTGACGAGTAGCTCTGTAATTTTGTTATTTATAGTACTGCCGGTTGGTGTATCAATTTGCATATGACTGATGTTTTTCGGCTTATCACCATCTGAATACGTCGCATAAGCTTGGCACCATTTGCATAGAACTACATTGCCTTTGCAATGTTTGCATACGATTGTCTTCCTGTTGGCATGTCACTCATTTGCATACGCAACTGTTTAAGACATACAGCATATTCACTCGCCAATTTACATAGCTAAATTTAATATTTGCATGTGTTTGAAGAATTCGCTTAAATAGTTATATGGGATTACTTGGATGAAAGGAACCCAAAATAAAGATCATTGACGACTAGCATTGGGCGGGCTCGTGCGATCATGCATTTTTGCAGTGTTTCGCGCTGCAATAAGATCACTCGAAATTCCGCTAGCTAGAAACCTCTTGTACGTACTGGTCCTCGAATTTCGGGAAGTTAATTATTCAAGCTATATTTGAACAGGAAACATTCCCTCGAAATCCCAGGTCCCCAGTTTTCTCAGTTCCCGAGTTACCCAAATCTCAGCCAGAAAATTTCACGGGGCCGTGCGGCAACCACGCATATTTGGGGGGGGGGGGGTTTTGATAAATTCAAGTTATAGACGAGTTGGAAACATTTCCTGAAAGTTTCAGCCTCCCAGTTTCCTTGGTTCCGAAGTTATTCATTTTCCCGCCAAAAAATTTTTCACGGGGCCGTACGTGGCAACCACGCACAACGGGGGGCTGATTTTGATAAATTGAAGTTATTGATGAGTTGGAAACATTTCCTGAAAATTTCAACCTCCCAGCTTTCTTGGTTCCCGAGCTGGCGATTTTCGCGCCAGAAACCGTCACGGAGCCGTGCTCGAGAACCACGAACTCCGGGGGCTGAATTCGAAATCTTTGAGTTCTGTATGGAGGGGGAACATAATCCCAAAATTCCAGCTTTCTAGCTTTTCTGGTTGTCGAGTTAGCGATTTTCCCGCCAAAACTTTGAGGCGCTCGTACGTGGAGCCTAGAGGTGCCTGAGGATTGATACCGCGGTCCTGGGGTGGCACTTGTCCGGGGAACCCACTCGCAAAATTTTGGCGCCGGAGCTTGCTTGGATGCCGAGTTGAAATACACACACACACACCGGGATCGTCACAATATGTGTTTTTGCATATTATGCAAAAATTCATAAAAACTCGAATTCGGTTCCTAAGTATGCCGAGGTCTCAAGTATGACCAAGTGGAAATTTTGTCTCAAAAGTCATTCAGGAGCTGGAAAATTAGGAGATTGAAATTTTGGAAGGATATTCACCCTTCTAGGTTTCAAATTTCGCTTTCACGTGTCGACGCGTGAAATTTTTAACCATTTTTTAACGTTTCAATTATTTTGCACAGACCAAAGTGCAAAGCAGTGCAAATCATTAACAGGCAAACGCTTGTTGGACCGGATTGCACAAAACGCATGGCCGCACCGGCTATTCTGATGCGTGCTGCTATTTATTACATTTATACCGCTTCTAAAGGCGTCAGAGCTGGTTTTGGTTTTCTCGTAGATAGCATGCATAGTATGCGACACGCATCGATTATCAGCAAGGCCAAAAATATTATTTGTTAAGATTCGTTGTTAATTAAAATTGAAGAATGATAAAAAAGGAAATGCCTGAAAAAAAGAGAAAATTATCATAATCGAAATTTTAGAAGTCTGGAAAAGAATGTTTTGGCCCATCAAGTCATATACATTTCTTGCCACTGCCACGACTGCTTGATATTTAAATTCATTAATTCGGCCATAAGAATAATTTACTGTCGGTACCTAGGTTTTTATTATGGCTACGATGCATATTCATTTTCACATTAGCGATTTTACAGGACACACCCGTATCGTCACCGAAAGTGAGTAGTTCCAACAGTCCACGCGAAGAGACTGAAGACGCAACGGGTGAAGATGACAGCGATAGCGCTCGTTTTCCGCATCTAGATTTTGATTTTCTGCAGCCGAATCGCATTCGTGACGCCGAGGGGCGCTTGGCCAGCGATCCTGATTATTGTCCCCGCACTCTGTACGTGCCGGAAGCTTTCATGAAAAAACAGACACCTGGTATCGTTTTTGCCAATTTTTACTACAGTACTCTGTTTAGAAGCGGCTGGTAAATTTTCAACAGATGAACATATTTTTTTGCAGCTACCAGTTATGCGTTTTTGCATGTATGCTAATGAAAAAACGCATATTGTGAGACTTCGGTGTGTGCTGTATGTGTGTCTGTTCGGGTATTTCAACTCAACACCCAAGCAAGCTCCCACGCCAAAATTTTACCAGTGAGTTCCCCGGCTAAGTGCCACTCCTGGACCTGGGTGCCAACCTTCACATATTTCTAGGCGCCGCATACGAGCGTGTGAAAATCTTGGCGGGAAAATCGCTAACTGGAGAACTAAAAAAGCTATAAAGCTGAAATTTTGCGGTTATGTTCCCTGTCTACATAGAAGTCAGAGGTTTCAAATTCATTCCCCAGGTATTCGTGGTTCTCACATACGGCCCGTGAAGGTTCTTGGTGAGAAAATGGTTAACTCGGGATCCAGAAAAGCTAGGAGGTTGGAATTTTAGGGTTATGTTCCCAACTCCTCCACAAAAGTTAAAGATATTAAATTCATGTCCCTGATACGTGTTGTTCTCACGTAGGGGTCCATGAAATTTTTTGGCATGAAAATTGCTAACTCAAGAACCAGAAAAGTTGGAAAGCTGAAATTTTAACGAAATGCTCCCTGTCCAAGTACCGCGTAGACAATTAACTTCCCGATTTTCTAGCTATTGGGTTTCCGAGCGATCTCATTACAGCACGGAATATTGCAAAAACGCATGATCGCACGGGCCCACCGAATGTGCGTCGCCAGTTATTTTCCAGCTGTGCAATTGAAGTCTTTTCCGAATTGCTTTGCTCAGTGCAGTATCAACGGATGGTTAGCCTGCGAGTGATCGTGACATTCGTATCGCCTCTTAATGTGAGGGTTCTCCTGACAGAGGTGACTGACAAGGCTTTAGGCATTCTGAGACGATCTTTGTGTTTATTGTGCGCCACTGTCTTGTTCTGAATTTTCCCACTCTCAAACAACGATGACGTGGCTTATTGAGGAAGTAAAAACTTCTGTGGAATGCATTAGTTTGTAAATAATTGGTCTTATAGGACATCGACAGTGGTGGGCAGCAAAATCGGCTTATTTCGATACAGTTTTGTTTTTCAAAGTTGGCAAATTCTATGAAATGTATCATATGGACGCCGTGATTGGTGTGGAGAATTTGAACCTCAATTACATGAGGGTTTGTCACATTTAGTCGAAAAATTTCATAACGAAAAGTTTTCTATTGGTTTCCATTATTCAACATATCTCAGTCAAAGATTGCTGCAACTCTTTGTTCAGGGTGGATTTGCACATTGCGGTTTTCCGGAAGTCGCATATGGGCGTTTTGCGGACCAGTTGGTTAATCGAGGATTTAAAGTAGCACGAGTGGAACAGACAGAAACACCATCTCAGCTGGAGAGCAGGAATAAGGCTGAAAAAGCTAACGACAAAGTTGTCAGGAGGTATGAGAAGAATTGAATTTTTAATGGTTTCGATGAAAAAAAAAAACACTTCTGTGATTGTAAAATTTGTCGTTTCTCGTTGTAAGGTTTTTCCCAGCCAGATGTTTTTTAGAGAAGTGTGTAATATAGCAACGTCAGGAACTCGAACATATGGTGTTCTTGATGGCAATGATCAGCAAGGAATCATTGAACTAATGGATTCTACAGCACGCTACTTGTATGCTGTTGCTGAAAGGGTTAGTTAAAAACGTAGTTTCGCAAAAAAAAAGTTTTTTTTTTAGTAAATAAGATCGATTAGTTGTTAAAACAGCTGCTAATTCGTTGTTTAATTTCTCGGATTTATGTCACTAGCAATTTTTTTTGGCTAATGTTCCTTCGTCTGTTGTTTTGCCTGCTTGTGTTTGTCCACTGAATAGGTTTTTAGCGTCGGAATCACTTGGCAAAATTTCAGTCGTTTCTGTGTGTGCTGTTTGTTGAGCGTCGCCAAGAAAAAATGCTTGAATACTGCCTTCCGTGGGTATATTACCAGCTAGGATGATTTTTTAGTTAATGTCATTAATTGTTTTAACAGGATTTCGTCTACATTTATTGTTTTCAGGGTTCAGATCGCATGGAGTATGGCGTATGTTTCGTCGATACAACCGTTGGTCGATTTTACGTACGTTTTAAGACAGTTATTATCTTCATCGTAACATATTTTATAGTTTTAAATACGTTTTTCCGTAATTTTTCCCCCTCAGTTTGGATAATTTCAGATTGGTCGCTTTTTGGACAGTGGCACTCGTTCTGCACTGAGAACCCTTTTTGCGCATCACCAGCCGGCACAGGTGGATTTGCTAAGATTTTTTGAAAATAAAAAGCTAGTAATTTTCTAGTCACTGTGATGCCAGCAATTCAAAACCACTATCAGCTTCTAAACAGCCCTTGAAAGAGGGCTCCATCAGCCAAAATGTTTGCGGTGTGCCATCCTTTAGGCTAATTTTGAGCGCTGCATTTATTGCAGAAAGTAAAATGTACTTCAACCATAAGCTGACTCAGGATAGTCTCCTGGGGAGCGGGGTGTGGGGAAGGAGGAAGGGGATGACAGGAGATACCGAGCAAACTTTCGTAGAGTATAACAACTAATGTCTAAGCTCCTGGGCGAAAAACCCCTCCATCCCCCCTCTCTCTGGGTCCGCCAATTACTTCGACTCAAAACTTTTATGGTCATCGTTTTTCATCGACGACGATTCAGCTTCCCACTTGTATCTGTTGGCTTTCCCTTCATTACTTGTTTGACCGAAATGATCCAGCACTTCAGTAATGTTCTTCACTTCTAATGAGAGCTGAAACATTGCATAAGAAGTGTCTTGCAATCTGCTGATAATCCTTAAGCGAAAACTTTATTTATTTTTGATAAAATGATTGCTTTTTTTTAGATTTTATATGAACGCGGCCGAGTTTCAGCTTCAACAATGGCAGTATACAATAATGCACTCAGCGCAGTGGCAAAGGAAGCGTTAATACCGAAGAAGGAATTTTTGACTGCTGAAAATACGCTCAAATTGGTCCGTGTTTTAGTTTTACCAAAACGTTACAGCACCTACTCATTGACACGGATTTTTTGCCTAATATTTTTACTCAAAAGAATCATCGTAGCAGAAATACAAAAAACAACCCCCCTCTCTTCCGGCCCCCCTCCCTTCACCTTCCTTATATGTAATGAGGGAAGATAACTGGAGCAGGCACCTAGATTGAGAGACTTAGCTGAATTTGCGGCTTTTATCTTTTTATCGACATTGAGGGTCCCACACTGCTTGCAATCTCGGTAGTTCTGGTCACAACTGACTGAAGAAATATGTGGCAAAACTCGTGAATTGTAATATTTATTTGATGTTAAATGCTATATTACTTACTAGCTTTTATCTAAATTGTAAACTCTATAAGTGGATTTAACTAATAATGAGGTATGTAGAGAAAGTGAAAACTGGAATCTACACTATCTATGAAAAAGTAATTTTCTTGCGCTTTAGTAAGAAAAAATATTTTTCTTGCTCTTTTATATAATTTAAATTAATAGAAGTTTGAAAATCTGAATTTACTGCAGCTGGCAAACGAAAAATATTTTGGTGGAACATATGAAAAGTGGCCCATAGTGCTGCTCAAAATGATCGACAGGAGCAGTCTGGTACCCAAATGTGATCCGGCCTACGAAGCAAGCATGTCGGCCCTGGGGGCCGTGATTTGGTTTGTTCTTTGATTTTACACCCATTTGTCCTTGATTCTTGAAAATAGTCTTAGTGATTTGCACCAAATATCTGCATTGAGCATTAATGCAGGAAACTGAATTGATAATTGACGAAGGAGGCAAGGTTCCTCATCACCGTAGCTCTATAAGCAATCTTTTTAAGTAGATTTCAAGCCGTTTTGATAGTGAAGGTAGCGAAGATACTTGACGAACAGGCAAGTATCGGAAAGAGTAGCATTACTGCTGACAAAGTGCAGCGACATAATAAATGAAATAAAACGGAATTGGAGAAGAGGTATAGAATAGAGAAATATGTTCATTTAATATTCTGAAAAGAAATAATCTCATTTAAGCTAACCGGCACTTGCATTGGGTAACGTCTGAAGCAGGTTAACAAGTGTGACCAGTTCCAATTTTCTTTCCCAAAAACGTGGAAGACTGTTAATGTTTGTGTACTTCAGTTGTAGGAATGTTTGATTAAAGTTATTGAGGGCGTTATCTTAATTATAGGTACTTGAAAAGATGCCTGGTGGATGTTGATATGATTTCGATGCGTCAGTTTGAACTCTATAAGCCCGTCGATCTCACTGGCCCATTACCTGAAGAAAAGGTATCCATCCTTTTTTTTCCTGTTTTCGCGTACTTTCTCTTCAGCAAAGTTTTCAAAGTATTCGTCTCTTTTATGCAATTGCTTAGGATATTTGGACCAGCTGTAATTCATAGTTCGGTTCTAAATTTATGTAGTTAACAACTTTTCCAGTTATTTTGATTTGTCAACCCTGCTCGGAACCACTTATTTTGGCTGGGCTTCTGTGGCTCTTCCTTTTTATTCGATTACATATCGTCTGTTGGCCAACTTACTGCCGGGTCCACTGGTTCGCTTCATTTCTTGGGAAAATTGCCAATTCGACCGTTCTTCTCGTCAAGCAATTGTCAAAGCTTTAGGTGTTCTAAATCCGTGGTGATTGTTGACCATCGCCGTCTTGTCCCCATTGCAGCCGTGCCTAGCTCACAATGATTCTTTACCATTTAGGGAGATTTTTGTAACTTTCAGAAATTCGTGTATTCTTAATCCACTATTTTTGCTTGTCCATTAGGCATGTGTGGTTTGGTACTCCTTTGTATTTACTACTTTACGTGTTATTGTTCATCGTACTTTGCTGCTCGAAAAATTACCAGCTGAGTCTTGAAACTGTGTCAAAAATAATGGAATAATGAATTACCGGAAAAACAATGAAAGAATTGCAGGAAGAGCCGAAAACCGGTGAAGCATTATGGCGTGGACGGCGACTTGTTCTGGACGGGCTTACACTCAAACATCTCAACATTGTCCCGCCGGTTGGTGGTATTAACAAATTTGTTGCACGTGATCCAGTCACTGCGAAATATGCCCTCTTCAATGTTATCAACAAATGTATCACACCTGCCGGTAAGTACTTCTTTTCTCTTTGAATAATACTCTTACAAAGCTTTCAATTTAAATTTCCTAATGTTTAGACTGCTAACAGCAACTGCCTATGAACGACAATTATAAGAACTCGGCTCGGCTCGGCCGACGTCATACACGATTTGCAGAGAATTTTTTCTGGCGATGGCGGGTAAAGCTACCCGACAGCGAGTGGGGGAGTTCGATATGCAGGCAGGAAAGGGGAGCGGTGTGCTGCGGGTTTTGTTCGAAACAGGGGAGGGAGGCTGGTATAGGTGGATTTAGTAGAAACATGGCCTAGACCCTTTGTCGGTTGGCTAGGTCACGTACATTTGGAGAGGAGAAGGAGTCGGGTGGTGCGTGAAAAGGAGGTGGAAGTGTATTTCTGGTTTTTGTCGCGAATGCCCGGGGTACACTTTCATTCATTATCGTATTTGTTTCAGGTAAGCGTTTGTTGAGGCAATGGGTTTGTGCTCCCGTATGTGATCGTGATATCCTTTGTTCCCGGCAAGATGCAATTCAATGGCTTACGGAAGCCGGATCGAAGAAATTTATCCAGCGAGCCACGGAGTGCTTGAGAAAAGTACCTGATTTGGAACGTTTAGTTCAGAAGTGAGCTTATTCTATCTTATTATTAAAAATGTCAGTTTCGTTTGCTGTAATAAAAATCACTCACTTTCACGAAAATTTATGTGAAAATTTACGTGATTTCTTTACGTGAAAAATCATGATCTTCTTATAATCATGATTTTTGAAGGATACATACATTCGGGTTGAAATATCGAGCGGAAGAGCATCCGGACAGCCGAGCACAAATGTTCGAGACAATGCGTTACAACAAGCGAAAAATACGAGACTTAGTTCAGGCTCTGGAGGGTTTTGAGCGTGTTCTCGAGCTTCGTTCAGAATTCATGCGGAATTTCGGCAATATTTCCAGGTCAGTATGCATTTCGAACTGAAATGTTGTTACTTTTTGAAAGCCTTGCTGTATTTTGTACTAATGAGAATTACTCGAATTTTCAACTGCATATGGGAATTTTTATTTTTAAAGTTCAAAATTTAACTTTGCAAACACTAGCGAGGTTCTTGCTAGCAAAATCTTATGCTTGTAACTCTAATTTGGCGACAATTTCTGGCTTTATCGTTAATTTTTTATGTTTTTTACTGTCTTTTTTACTGCGAACAGTCTAAAACTGATACTAAAAAGTCACTTTGCTTACGTTGTTCTGCTAAATCTGATGCCCGCCGATGCAAATTATCACTGTATCGCTTAGTAGGGCGCATACCACATACTGACATTTGGCTTAGTTTGGCTCCTTTTTATGCGTTTTGTGCTGTGTAACAGCAGTACAAAACGCATATTGTTACGGGTTTGTCT